GAGATAAGTAGATTTGGGAAAAGTCATGATGTTGCACGAGTTTGGTTAATACCTGTATTTCCCATTTCATCAAAACTGTTACCTCGTCCAGTCAAAATGAGACGCCAGCAATACATCCACCATGTGTCCATCATGTCCACGAACGAGGCCAGAAAGAGCCATTCTCGACACGCTATTAGATTCTCTGTACACACACACACACACACACACATATATATATATATACACTAATCGCATTGTGACTAATTACCTTGGTGGTTTCAAAGGTGCCCAGGCTCTCCTCAAGGTCTGTGTACAGGGTCCATAATTTGAGCGATTTGTGCAATCGTGCCTGAACCGGTTCCGATCGATCATAATAGTCCACTTTTCGCGGTGGAGCAGTTGTGGCTTTGCCCAACAGTTTGAGTGCTTCTTCCGGTCGACTGAACGGATTTGTACACCGGAAAACAAGAAAGAGAATGGTAAGGTGAGGTGAGGTGTTTATAGAATGAGAGAGCGGAGGGGGGGGGGAAATAAGAATTCTCCAAGGTTGATTAATTTACGCCAGACACTCACAACCGGGGATACATGTTTGATGAGTGTCAAACGCAATCATGACCTAGTGACCAAACGCACCCGGTGCCAGCACACAACACAGTGAAGCAAGTGTTGCTGATCGTTTTTAAGCCAATAGCGTGTTGAAAATATAAACGAATTACTAAGCTTCATAGCAAGTAGACTTATCAGAGAGAGAGAGAGAAAGAGCGGCACGGTCGATACGCAGTTCACATGGTCGAAAAATATGTACATAGGCTCTCTTTCTCTTCAAGCAGTGAAACCCCAAAAAGTTACAATCAAGGGATTAAAGCTCTCTACTCGGGAGACAAAAGACACTCGGTCACCGGTCTAATATGGTATGGTTCAACCCTTTATTTATTTCATTTTCACAGAGTTTCATTCACCTTAAAGCTGCAACTAAAAAAGGAGTCCGGTTCAGTTTCAGTTTGTACAACCATTAACCATGCACTATCGTGCGCCGGTTTTGGTTGCTATCTTTCGACTGCCCATTTGGATGAACATGAGGAGAAAGACAGGAAAGGTTGAAAGTAGGATCGAAGAAAAAAATGAAAACTTCAGTGGACTAATGATACAGAGAAATTGAGATGCACGATTGTCATTGTTTACGACACTCAGCCATATCACTCAGTGTCTCTAACCATCGGGCATGACTATCCCGAGGTCCCCATCCAGAGACCCTAACGGGGCCTATGTGACCCAGACTCCTGGTTAGGGTTTTCATACCCTCATGCTAGGTTTTAGTTTGACCACCCTGGGCTTTATTCCACCCACTACCTGCCTCGGCAAACATCG